CCGGCCCTGGGGGGGTGTCGGCGTTGGAGTTGTGAATTCGTTGCGTTTCCATGAAATCCTGCGGAGTGTCGCTCGCTACCGCCGCCGCTGCCGCCGCCGCTTTCGGTGATGAGGAAAAGAAAATGGCGGCGGGAAAAGCGAGCGGCGAGAGCGAGGAGGCGTCCCCCAGCCTGACAGCCGAGGAGAGGGAGGCGCTCAGCGGACTGGACAGGTACGGGCCGCCGTCACCCGCTCAGTCGGCTCCGGACAGGCAGGCGCCGCTCTCCGGAGAGGCCGGAGCGCGGCTCGTCTCTGGCGGCGGTGGGGCGGGCACCTCGGCTTGGCGCTCTCCGCGCTGCCAGCGCCGGGGCCTCCGGCTCGGGCAGGGACGGGTCGGTGGCGTCCCCGAAGCGTTAACCAGCCGCGTGTGTGTTTCCCCACAGCCGCCTCTTCGGGTTCGTGAGGTTTCGTGAAGATGGCGCCAGGACGAAGGCCTTACTGGGCAAGGTAAGACAGCCGCGGGCCGGAGCGCTTACAAGGGTCTCCCGGGCCAGCGCCGCGGTAGCCCCGGGCCCTGCAGCCCGGTCAGTGCTCATTGTGGCCGCGGACGATGGCCGAGGGGCTTCCGGAAAACTATTTCCTGCCTGTGCTCTAACCCCCACCTCTGGGTACCTCGCTTGCTCCCTTGCGAATTCGCTCTCTCCTCTTGCAGCTGGAGGATCGGAGAAAAGCAGCGCTTTGGGGCCGATCCCCACTGGGTCGGCAAAATTGCCTCCTATTTTGTCGCTTTGCCGGGCTAGGCCGATGATCTCCGAGGTTCCGATTGAGGGGCAACGGATCGTAAATGTGTGCACATTCCCTCAAATTTCCGCCTTTCTTGGCTCCTCTAGTTTTTATTCTTTTCCGTCAGGCAGGCTGTTCGTGATGTCTGCTGTTAACCGAACGTTAGGGGCTTTCTTCGGTCTCTGCTCCCGGAAGGGGGAAGTTGCACGTAGTTTAGGTCGGTGAAGAGTTTGCATTGGGCTGTTGACATGTATCTCAATTTTTACCTGAAGTTAGGTGACTTGTTTACTTTTTGGGTCTTTTTGCCATAGAAATGGCACACTTACATGTGAATTTGTTTTCTTATTGGAGCTTCGTTTCCTGTGTGTCTTGACAGGGGAGACCGGGGAGGATTTGGGGTGTAGTCTCAGTTTATTTGTGTGGAAAGTTGTTGGCACTGTCATTTAGTTAAGTAATGGCTGCTCCTATCGGCCCAAGATGGCGGGACAGGGTGGGAGGAGAAAGTGAAGAGGAGGGGGGTTTGGGGGGGAGGGAGGAGAGGTAAACATGGAAATAAATAGTAGCGACGAATAGGCCTCTTATTTGGAGTGTGTAGCCCAGTGGTTAATAAAAATTATCCCAGATTATTTGCATATAGAGTTTTTGTACCTTTCTCTAGCTTGGAAACAGCATGCTTAAGCCTGGTAAATGCTTATCAACCTGTAGCACATTTAGTTACCCATCCGTAAGCTATTGAACAAAGGCTGGAGTCTCATTCTGTCCGCATCAGTTTGTATCTCCTGACCGAAATCTGACTGAAATGGTAGTACAAGGCTTTCTTGTTAATTGGAACCGTGAAACTTGGGGTGTGTATGATAGGTGTTGTATCTGTTAGACATTTTCTTTTCTGGCTGGAATCTGTAGCTTTGCATTTGACACTTAGCTTTATTGTTGCAATTGCCAAGGAAGTTTGAAATTTCTAAAGTCTAGTTTTTTTTTAAGTTTTTTTTTTGTTATCCTTAATTTTTGTCTGTAGTTTGGTTTAGCAGCGTCATTAATTGCCTTTTTATCTGTAATTACACTTCTGTTTTTATTGAAAAGTAACTAAATATAAGGAGTTTTGATCACATACAATGACCAGAAAGTAAATCCTTTTCAATAGGTTCAGTCCCTTTGACTGGTAGAAAAAACTTGAATTAAACTTTGACTTTTTAGGTATTCATTGGTTTCATTAAAATTATAGCTGGAAAAATGAACGGTGAGTAGCTCAGGAATGATAAAAGCATCAATAATTTTTGGTCCCCAGTCATGAGTCCTTTTTTTTTTCTCTTCAATGTATTTGCAGTGTTTTATTTTACTTAAAAAGACTACACTTCCATGCAAATTGTCATTCTAAATAATTAAACAAATACTTTAAATATAAGGAGCATTTTATTTTCGAGTAAATATTGCTGGTCTAACATCGGTTGGTAAAGTTGCTTGCGAAAATAATTTGGAAAAGTTTGGCTAGATCTATTGCTTTCAGTTATGGTGATGAAGAAATAAATGAAATCTGATGTCATATTGTATAACATGTTAGTTGATGATTTCATGTTTTAGATTTGCAGTGGTTGGTGCTTCACGTTGACATTCATATTGTTGTATTAAGCCCTGCAGTTATTATGAATGAACTTGAGTAAATTTTAAAAAGCCAAGCATTTTCAAATATTTTTTTTGTAAAGTTGTGGATTACTTTTTTGACATTTGAATACGGTGACATAAACATGAGAAACTTGTGAAGCTTTTCATTATGCTTTGGGGAAGAATTACGGCTTCATAAAATATGGGATAATTTGATCAACTAGGTAGTTTGTTGAGCACCCCCCATCAAAAAAAACAAAACCAAAAAAACCCCAATTCAGTGCTTCCAGTTCAGTGCTTGTGAAGATTAAGACTTATCAGCCCTAAGGTTAAAATAGAACATTCTATAGTATGTGCTTGAACCTCAAGCAGTTCTTGGTTGCATCCTGTGAGCCTGGATGTACCAGTGAAATGTGTAATGTAAAGCTTTGACTTACATAACCTCACATTGCCTGTTTGGATTCTGAATGGAATGAATGAGCTGTGAATCCTGTTGAAGGAAGTGTTGATTTAGTTTCATCTCTTTTTTAACTGCCCTGAGAAGCAGACATTTATTTATTTATTTAATGTTGAGCTGTGTTGGTTTCAGAATTCTTTTTTTGTAAATCTTAAAAACAAGAGTTGGCTTTTCTCTTTTGGAGTGGGTTCAGGCTAGTTAACTGAAGACAGATAATAAAATTGAATAATTCCCAGAATTCCCTTTTTAGCTATGATGTTTTTGTTGTTGTGCTATTCCTCATCCCGACAAATTTAGTCTGCACTACGTATTACTTTTTTTCCTTTCTGACAGAAATTGCTATTACAAATTTACATTTGTAGGCTTTAGAAAATACAGCTCTTGACCTAAAAGTTTTTGAAAACTGAAAACATTAAATAAGTGTCTTTTACTTGCCCCCAAGCTTATATATTCCTTTTCCAGGTGTGATGTTGTTTATCCAGACCAATGATTTCTCTTATCTCTGAACATTTTGTAAGATTCCTTTATATTAGAGTCATTGAAAGGCATTGTGTTTGTAGGGTTGCCATTTGATATATAATAATACTTTAGATTTTGGATTAAAAAATCAGTAGTATAGTGTAATATTTTTGTAGTAATACCTTAAAAGTAAGGTCATAAAGAACTAGAGCTTGCTTAATCAGAGTTCTTGCAATATACTGATATTGAAAGGTTTGATCTTTAATGATGATCCTGAAATATTTTGGTAATTTAGTAATTTAGGATTCTTATTTTTTAAATTACAGGGGAGTTACTGAAAAGAAGTGAAATGTTTTAACAAAAATTAACTGTGGTGACTTGTTTTTTAGTACATTGTTGAAAACTTTTGGGGTAAATTTTTTTAGTAGGATAAGGAGTTGAGTTAAAGTGTAATATGTGGTATATATAGCATAAATGTAGTAAGAGTATAAATATAGTAATATTACAGAGTATCATTAGAGTAATATAATGCTGGAGGGCTGCTTAAGGCATTTTTTTCTGTTAGGCTAAGAGGGCATCTTATCTTTGTCAGGGAACTATTGCCAAAATGCTTAGGTAGATGTTTATTTTAAACTATCTTCATGTCTTTTTTTTTTTTTTGGTGGGACTAGGGTTTGAGCTCAGGGCTTCATGCCTGCTTTGCATGTCTCCAGTCCATTTTGCTCTGGTTATTTCGGAGATGGGGTTTCATGAACTGTTTGCCTGGATTGGGCACGAACCTCAATCCTTAGCCTCCCAAGTAGCTAGTATTACAGGAATGAGTCACTGGCTCCTGGCTCTTAATCATATTTAAGTTTGCCTTAAGTACTCTATCTCACTGTATTTCTTTTTTGGTAATTCTATTCTTAGAAATATTACTAGACTACTTAAAAGTTATCGGTTTACCACTTAAAAATGTATGTGCTTTTTTAAAGCAGATGATAGCATTAAAATAGTTGATATTTTATTTATTGCGGTACTGGGGTTTGAACTTGGCTTACACCTTGAGCCACTCCACCAGCCCTATTTTTGTGATAGGGTCTTGTCAACTATTTGCCCGGGCTGGCTTTGAACCTGGATCCTCCTGATCTCTCCCTTCTAAGTAGCAAGGATTACAGGCGTGAGCCAACCATACCCAGCAATAGTTGACTTTTTTTTTTTTTTTCCCCTTGGCAGCACTGGAGTTTGAACTCAGGGCCTAACGCTTGCTAGAAGTTTTGGTTAATGGAAGTAATTTAAGATTTATTGAAGCAAATAATTTCCTAAATAGGGTCTTGCATGTGTGGGGAAATCACTAAGTCATTTGTAGAGGTGGCTTTTTTATATTACAGTATTTCAGTATTAGTGATGTGTAAAAATGAATGCAATGTGCATTTTTTGTTTGCTGACACTTAAAAGAATATATTCATTTCCAGTGCTAAAGAAGCCTAGTGTTTGAGTTAGAAAATGTAGCCACAGAAATAATATCATGCTTTGTGTTTGAAAATTAGGTCTTTCATTTAATGGGTTTTTAAAATGTTTTCTAGTTTGGAAAGTTGTCTTCTAAACAATTATGGTGATAATTGCTTACCTGGAACAAAGTCTTATGCAATTATTATGGATTCCTTGAAAGTTTGGTACATCCCTGCTAATAAAGATATAGTAGGAGATTACAGCATACAAATTAGAACTGCATCAATACATAAACAGACATTTTTTAAAGTTCTGGTTTTCTTTTCACTGAGTAGTCTTTCTTGAAATGACCAGAAAACGTTTGACTGCCACTTTTAAATATTTTAGGTTGTTAAAAAATTCAGAAATGAGTTTTTGTGACTGATAAGAGTGGAAGGATGCACTACATACTTGGCAAGGCCCATAGTAAATCTCTTTCTGATTTAGATTATGTAACCATTAGTTTTGCTTTCATAATACCAATATTCTGCATATTTGAAAGGGTTTTTGTTGAGTTTATTTTTCTTTGAAACTCATTGTGATACTTTGAACTCTTTGAAACTGATGTTAATGACTGATAACTGCATTATTAATATTTTTGAAATGTGACACCCACAAATAATTTATGTTGAGAAAACAACACTGGATTGTGTAAGAATTGAAATGGTTAGGCTATTTAGTGCCCACTTGTATTTATTTGTGGACTAGTTAATTAGTGGAATGGATACTTGACAATCTTACATATTCATACTGAAATTTCATGTAGAATTCTATCAGTTTTCCATATTAAGTTATCATGACAGTAAATCTGAGCGGTATTTCAATATATGCTAAATTCAAATTGTCTATGTGGGGAAATATATGAAAATAACAGGTACCACTTGCTGTGTTGAATTTACAGCTCACTGAAAGGGGTGAGGTAAGTATAAGGATTACTAACACATAAACATCAGTGGCAGAAGAAAAGTGTGAGGTACTCTGACAGTTTATAATAAAGATCAATTTAACAAGTTACAAGTTAGAATGACTGTTAATAGTATGGGGATTGTTTTCTTGGGAGATAGTGTTTCTCTATTTAGATAGTAGCAAAGCATCTTTTAATTTTGTTTAGGAAAACATTTAAAAATCATGTTTAGCTTTTAGCAGATTTTCAAGGGATGATAATCTGTGTGTTCTCTACCTCCTGATCTCATTTTGTAATGATACACATACTTTTGCTATGGACTCTTAACTTGGGATTCTTAAATGAGTGTTCATGGGTAAATTAAGAAAGTTTATGACATCTTTGGAAGTATACTGATGAAACAATGATTATTAAACAGTGATTATTTTGGAGTACAAAACACCCTTGAGGTTCTAAGAAGAAGGAAGGGGGGCTACACTTTTTACTTTACAGATTTCTGTACTGCCCCTTTTAAGCCATAGGCATGTATAACTTTAAAAACGGTACAGTCAGTGCTCTGATAGTATACCAGAATTTTACATTTTGACT